TGAAATCTGAAACTCTTCTGCACCCAAGCATTTGGGATAAGGAACCATCAGTGTGTATTAGAGAGGAGAGGGCACACAGCAAATGGTAAACCACAGCGCAGAGGTAGAATTCTAAAAAGATAACAAGAGCAAATAAAATGAAAAAATAAACATTTTGAAGCTGTGGAAACTGAAGTAAAGGCCCCAGGAGCAAATGTATTTGCCAGAGCAAAGCGCGGCCCTGGACCAGGGGAAGATGAGGGGATGGAGAGAGGCGATGCGGGTGCAGGGGGTGCCTGTTGGTTCTCAAGGTCACCAGGACAGCCAGAGCCGCTCCTCCCTCTGGTCTGACCACCCCGCAGCTCTGTGCCCTGGGAACTGGCCTGGAACAGTTGCCAGAAGACAGAAAGATTGAGTGCCTGTCCCAGGCCCTTTGAAGGAGAGGGCTCGCGACACGGCTGCTGCCCAGGTGCCTAGGGAGGGATTGCGGAGGGCAGCAGGCGAGGAAGGAGACAGGGTGCGCGCGCGTGGGGAGGGGACAGCTGTGAGCCTGGGGCCGTCCTCCTCCACTCTGCATAGGGCTGAGCTGCGCTGCGATCAGGACTCAGCCGATTGCTGACTAGATGCTGAGAGAGTTTCCCACAGCCTCTTAGAGCCTTGATTTTTCTCCAGAGAACATCAGTATGATAAAATCTCCCTCCCTGAAGAGTTAGAAGGACTCCGAAAGGTGAAAATTGCTTTGTGGGCTTTCTGAGGAAAAGCCTAACTTCTCCCTTGGACAGAGGTCAGAGAGCGTCAGATGTTATTTTGAATGATCCACATCAGCAAGGCACTAACAGAAGGATCTGATTATATCAGATCCGAGTGCAGGTCCACTGTGTCCCCAGGGGCCTTTTCTACCTGGAATGCAAATCTTGTAAAATAGGCCTTTTATTGAAAGAGACCAGGAGCGAGTAAGAACTGTGTTTGGCAAAACGTTTTTATTTATTTATTTTTGTGTATTTGGTACAGGGTCTCACTACACAGCTTTGACTTCGTAGTGAGCCTCCTGTTTTCAGCTCCCCCTATGCTGGGATTCCAGGCTGGTGCCACTATGCCCATGGACTCTGCGGCTGGCTCAGGGAGCTGGAGGCCGGCACGGCATGTGGTGCCGGGGATTGAGCCCCGGTCCCTGTGCTTGCCTGAGATTTACGTGTATCAGTGGCCCTTAGTGCACTGAGCTTTCTAGCTAGCCTGGCAAAGCATTTAGATCATTTGGGGAGTGTTTAAAATTTTTAAGTGTAAAATATTCTCTTACAATTTAGCAAGAGTTCTGATGTTTTCTAGGCCTCCGCGAACACTACACTGCAGTCATGATTACTTGATTTTTGTTGAGCATTTATTCTCCATAAGGCATTATGGGGTTGGGGAGATAGCTCAGAGGTCTAAGTGCCTGACTGGATCTGAGTTTGATTCCGGGCACTGCATGCCATACTGGCCCTAGAACCTCGGGTAGGCCCTGCCAACTCCAAAACTGGGTGTGGTGGGGTACCCCTGTAATCCCAGCACTGGGGAGGCTGAGACAGGAGGATCACTATGGATCTGAGCTGAATCCAATTTAAAAAAAAAGACATTATTTTAGGGAAGGCAGATGAGGTCTTCCTGCCCTGAGAGGCGCCCGCATGGTGACACATACATGTAAGACAAGAGACTCATGGACAGATGGGACATTGTGGTGAACACAATGCAGATTAGGATAGGAGAGGCCAGACCAGAGGCCTACCTGAGCTTTTCCTTTCTAAAACGAGCCTACCTGTGCCTCTACCTGGAAAAAGTGCCAGTGAAAGGCCAGCATATGAAGCACTCCAGCGAAGCAAAGCGAACCCCAGCGTAAGGAGCGGGGTACACGGCTCCCAGGTTGGGGCTACCTTCCTCAGGGCGCCCGGGAACCAGTGCTCACTGTGCCCACTGGCTAAGACATGGCGGTGTGTTTCTTGTACTTCTGACTCTCTTAGGGGAAGACAATCATATCTTCAACCCAACCAAGGGTCCCACAGCCTGAACGCTAGCAGCCGCGCACTAAGAGGCCCGGCCTGCTCGGCGCAGTTCTTGGACGCAACCAAATCTAGCAAAGCTGAGACCAGAATGACCACCATACATACCTCAAGCATGGGGGCAGAAAAGTGTTGCCATTGAGGCTGTCCCTTTCAGGATGTAGGAGATCTACGTGTATCAGTGGGTGACAGGTCTGAGTAGCCCCTAAGACCCCAAACGTGGAGCCTGTCTTGAGTCTTTCTTCCTACATCTTAGCTTCCCAAGTCCTCAGAGGGTGCCCTGCAGCCCGTCCCAGCATGCTGCAGCCTCAGTGGGAGGATGGGCTCCGTGCAGCTGTGTCACACTGCAGCTCAAACTCTGGGACTCAGCTGGCAGCAGACACTAGGGTTTTGATTGGGTGCTTTATTTTTGACCCTGTGGCTTTTGCTGTTGTTTCCATGTGTGAGATTGGCCAAGTGGTATGGCTATCTGGGAGCGAATATCGCCGCTCATTTGGAACATTTCCCTGTGAGGAAAGAAACACTCAGGAGCACACTAGTTTCTCTCCTCCTTTATCTCTGTCTCAGCAAGAGGGGGAGAGTCCCTTCTGCATCTTCTAATCCATGTAGTTCTATATACACTGCTTGGGACCAACCCCAAATTTAGTCCTTAATTTATCTTGGCTCTTAGGAGAGCAGCATAAAATTCTCCTGGCAGATTGTTCCCCACCCCTCACCACCTCTCTTACAGATGTTGTTCTTCACAGAAGGGTACAGTTAGTGGTGATGGGGCAAAGGAAATCCTACCTTTGAAGTAAGAAAAGATAGGCAGTTTTCTCACGGGGAAGGGTATTTGTTTTTCATGTGGGTATTTGAACTATAATGATTTAATGACATTGCTTGACTGGTTTTTCTTTTTTCCTTTTGTTTTACAGAAACAAACAATCACAGCTGTCAGAAAAGAGGTAATTAGCCTCCTGGTTCCAATGATGTTTGATGTAAAATGTTTTAACAAATAATATGTACTTTGACTTCATGCTGTACACTTGGTAGTGAAATGGAAACCCACGCGTAATGTTCATGCAGTTATTTCCAAATTAGTGGACGTCACGGAATGTCGGGATCCAGTGGTCTCTAGGTGTGATCCATTTTGCCCAGGGAAAAATGGTGGCAGGAATGAGGAAAATATAGACAAGAAGACTACAGCTGGGTCAGGTGGTGGCCCGTCGGCCTGTTTGGCAAAACAACCCCCAGAACAACAGTAAGAGCGGGGGTAAAGTTAGTATCATGTGACACAAGGTTGCCTAGTGACTAACAGCTGACATTAAGCAGGTAGGATGCTTTGCTCAGGACTGAGGTAGCTTGACTGCTTTAGGCATGAGGCCTAGTCCTGCTCTCACACATACGGACAATTTCCAGCTTTAGTGGCTCCCAACAAAGGATCTTTTGTAAGATCTGATTAAGGCTGACCAGGTGGCCCCGGATGTAAAACATCCTTAGAAGTCACAGAAGGCCAGACCCCCAGACTTCCCAGATCTGAGGGAAGCACAGAGAAGGTTGTGGAAATCAATACTTCAGAGTGTTCCTGTGCCCAGTCTGGCCCCTGTTCTTGCAACTACAGGGCCGTCCAGAATCTGGTCAAGGAGACAAGCTACTCAGTTTAGACACTCTTCTCTGTAGAGCCCTGGGAAGCTGTGGCCACCAGGGTAGGATGTGTCAATGGGTGTCTGAGAAGGGGTTGAGAAGAGATGGCCTGCTGCTTTCACAGCTGCAAAGCCAGGATGATTGAAGATGTCCCCTTCTGTGGAGACCACGTTTCTTCTGTCTTCCAAAGCGTGTGAGGGAACAGATAGCACCTGGAATAATGTTGACGCAGTTGTTTCCAAATGAATGGACCTTGTCGACTTAGTTGAATGCTTCTCAGGACTTCTTTCTCCTGGGGGGTCCCTTTCTGCGGACCAACACCAGATGTGCTGAGGTGGCCATTGGCTTGGAGTGTTGGGTCGCTTGTCTCCTGGGGGTCTGGCCCTGTGGGTGCTGGGGTGGCCAGCTTGAGGGAGCGGGCTAGGCTGTTGCTGTGGATAAGTGGCTTCTAGTCCAGGAGCCCCTACAGTGTCCATGTTAGTGACATGTGAGGGCGGGGCGCTGGACACCCTCTGACTGCTGTCTCTCTTTCAGATCATGTATTACCAACAGGCCTTAATGCGGTCCACCGTGAAGTCCTCTGTGTCCCTCGGCGGGTATGGCCTTTGGTTGGTTGGTCTTGCTGAGGGATGAGCAAGAGTAGGTGGGCAAGAGGGGACCTCAGCTGCCAGGCAAACTGGGAGAGCGGGGCTGACTGAAAATATTAAACAACTGCCAGGCGTAAGCCAATTTCTTGGGATTTATATTTGTGTTAGTTTTTCCCTCAGAGGTGTCTCTGGGTTTTGTCTTGGGTTGGCCAAGACCAAGGGTGTGCAAGGTTTTGTGAGGTTCCTGTCTCTTGGAATTCGCTGGTTGTGGAGAGGGAGGTGGGAAAAGTTCGAGTCCATGGGCTGGGTTCTGCGGGGAGCTGAGATAGCCGGCACGCTGTCAGATTTATTAGAGCTACCCACATGGGTTGGGTTGGGCTGGAAAATGTCCACGTCTAATTGATTTTTGTTTTTTTATCTTTGTTTTTATTTTATACTGTGGATGGACCCCAGAGCCTCCACACTCAGTTGTATCCCCAGCTTTTACAAAATATTTTGAGACAGGGCTTCCCTGGATCACTAAATTGCCTGGGTTGGGCTTGAATTTGCAATCCTTTTGTCTCAGACTCCCATGCTGAGGGATCCGTACGGTGTGCTCTCCGTCTAACCTGGCTGCCATTGCTGATCTTTGATTTAAAAGAATTTAGATTCATCGGCAATTTGTGTTTAATTTATTACACTTTCGGAATAACTAGGAGATAAAAAACGGGATTAAGAGCCTCCCAAACACAAGCTCTTATCCTTTGACAATGGGAAGTTTATTTTAGAACCCCCTCGCTAATTCTGAATTTTCCTGCACACATAAAAATAAAGCTGGCTTATCGTGCACTAATTTATTCTGACCCTGTAAGACTTAAACAGGGGGCCGGGGAGATGGCTCAGTAGAATAAGCGCTTCCCTGACAAGCGCAAGGGCCTGAGTTCAGTCCCTGGTTCTGCCAAAAAAGAAAAAAAAAAAAAAAAAAAGACTTAAACGATGGCACCGGGTCCCTTTGGGGTCAGGGAGGCTGTGTTGGGGTGGTGCTTGCTTCCCATGTGGATAAGTTAGACTCTTGGGAAAATCTTCAAAGACCTGTAACATTTCACTGAATTCACAGTTGGCCAAAATGCCACCTTCCCTGAGGAAATGTCCCGTGACCCCAGCCGCATCGTGCAGTGGCCTCACCTGGAGCTGCCGAGACCCGGCCACCAATGAGCAGTGTGCCCTGTACCCACCTGGGGTTGCGGCGATGGTTACTGCTCTGTGATCAACTCAAAGCTCTTTACTGCGCAGCACGTTTCCTGGAACCCAATGGAGAGAACGCTGAAGGGGACGCAGAAGCTTCTAGATACTTCCCAGGCCCACCTTCCCATTTTGGAAAAATTGCCTCGAGGCCTCATTACTGTCATGTTGCATCAGCAGTGTTTGGACCTGTGGGCTGGCTTTTCCTCCTCAGCCGGCTCCACTTGTGCTCTGATTGCAGAATGCTGGTTTCATGGGAGAAGAGGAGCTAGGGCGCTTATGCTCTGCAGACTCGGCTCTCTGGCTTACCCTCCGGGCCAGGGACCCTGCTCCATTCAGATCTGTGGCCACGGCAGACTGTGGCGGGGCCTCCTCTGCGTCCTGTAGACCGCACTCATTGCCATGGTGCAGGAGTTTTCCTTACATCTCAGACTTTAGGAAATAGGGAGACTCAGAAAATCTGACTTCACTTTTAAAGGAATTCGCTTTTGCCCCAAACCTAGGCATTGTCCTAAAAAGAGTAGACCCAGCTTGGTGGCAAAGTTACAGCAATTCTTTTTTAAAACTTTTTTTTTTTTAAACTTACTTATTTGGTGTGGGCTCTCACTAGTGATCCTCCTGTCTCAGCCTCCCCAGCACTGGGATCACAGCTGTGGTCTACCACACCCAATTCAGTGGCCTGCGAGGCACGCCTGGGGTTTCCAGGGCTGGTACGGCATGTGATACCAGGGATCAAACTCAGGACCTTGCGCTTGCCAGGCAGGTGCTTAGGTTGCAGAGCTGTCTCTCCAGCCCAGTGTCACAGCAATCCTGTGGCACCTCGTGCTTCCAAAAGGAGAGAAACAAGGCACAGGCCAGGTGAGTCAGCTCTGAAGTTCAAAATCTCTCACGAACATACGAACCCACGAACATACGAACTATGGACACAAGCTCCAGATTGAGAGAAAACACTTTGTTTCATGCGTAGTGTACAGAGAGACCTGGCCAACGCCTGCCAACCCCGGGGCTGTTAGAAGGCTTTCCTAAGACCGTAGTAAGCAGTGTCTGCTAAATCCATGTGGGAGGAGAGGACATGCCGGTCAGTGAGCCGGGCGTTCATCTAGTTTCCTGGAGCTTCTGGGAAATCATTTCCATTTCCATTTCCATTTTAGAATCGTCAAGTACAGTGAGCAGTTCTCATCCAACGACGCCATCATGTCAGGCTGCCTCCCTAGCAACCCTTGGATAACAGATGACACCCAGTTCTGGGACTTAAATGCCAAATTGTATGTATTTAACGCATTGGAGTTCATTGCGATTGCTTTTTGCACAGTAATTCACATGCAATACAGTTTATGCATTTACACAGTGGTTTGCTACTATGTTCGATGTAATCCATTATGATTACATTTCATTTACAATGATTACACGTAGTTTAAAAATATTTTTATCATCCCCCAAAGAGATCTCGGACCCTTTGGCTGTCACCCCACACACCCCCACACTCCAGCCCTAGGCAACCACTCATTGATCTAGTTTCTGTCTCTAAGGCTCTGCCTATCCTAAAACTTTCCTGTAAGGAACCACACGACATGTGATGTTTCGTTCTTAACCTCTTCCACGTGCCACAATACTCTCAAAGTTTATCAGTGTACCGCGCATGTAGGAACTTCGTTTCTGTTTATGGCTGAGTAATGGTCCTTGTGTGGGTGTAAGACATGTGGCTGGCCTGCCTCCTCCTGTCCTTGCCTCTTAGCTATGAGCAGTAACGTTCACAGTGATGGGCCAGCCACGGTGGGTAGTGGGCAGGCGCCTGGCTGGTGACCAGGACCACAGCAGCCGTCGCCACTGCTGCTCAAGAACTGTCGCTGACCCTCCGCAGGGTGGTCTCTGGGCCTTCAGGAACCTTCCAGTTCATTCTCCCCGAAGGGTGGTGAGCAGGGCCTGTGTGTGCCGCTCCACTGTGGGTGCCCCTCGCCTCTGAGAGCTCACTTCCTAGAAGAGCATCAGGGGCTGTCGGGGGCCACGTCTTCCTAGTGGACTCTATGCTGGGGTTGGGAGGAGGAGAGGGGGGAGGAAGGGGCCACAGTCCCTTGTGCCTACCCGGCTACCGCCAGGCCCTGGCTTTCTCAGAGAGCTCTGCTACACATCGGTGTCCTTGCAGGGTGGAAGTCCCAACCAAGATGCGGGTGGAGCGATGGGCTTTCAACTTCAGCGAGCTGATCCGAGACCCCAAGGGCCGCCAGAGCTTCCAGTACTTCCTCAAGAAAGAATTCAGTGGTGGGTTCTAATTTTTTTTTTTAATTGAAAGAATTTACTTTTAGCAGCACTCCTTTAACGCCCAGCCTAGGTCTCCTCACTGCACATTGCCATAGCTTTGCTGAGGGAGGGCTCTTACACAGGGCTTCCTCTGACAGCATTAGCAGTCCTGGGTGGGTCTAGGACTGCTCTTTGCATCAGAGAAGCCCCACAGACTGATGAAAAATTGTACCCACCGACAGAACCCATGTCAGTGCCGTCACGTTTCCACCCCGTCTTGGCTACCCTCTCGTTATCATCCGGAGGCGCCTGCTGCCCCTCCCCCCGCCTCTAAAGTGTGGCTTTTCCGGGGAGATTGAACAGAAGGAATGCAGAGTCAGCGGGCTTCGCCTTTGGACCCCCGCCTGTCTTCAGCTCAGTGGTTCTGCACGTTGAGCTCGCCGGGGGGAGAGTGGCCTGCATCCCATCCCCAGAGATGCCTTGGGGTTAGAATCTCGGAGGTCTGGAAAGCCCTCCAGGTGACTAATGCGTGGCCGTGACTGAGGACCACTGCCCTAACTCCCCACCTGATTTCTTCGGGGGCCTTAAGAGGGAGTGGATTTAAATGGAACGGATAGGGGCATACGTGATGTCTCAAGCCGGGGGTTCGAATGGTGGGCACTCCCAACCTCTTCAGTAAAATAGACCATACCAAAAAATGTTTGGGCAAACCAAGGGGCTAGATGAGAGCCAGTTTCACTAGGCTCCACACTCAGTGGGCTCTGGCCTCTTAGCCGAAATAGTTCCTTTTATGGGGCTTCTTTGCTGTTTCTAGAAGTCCTTAGCCCTGAGGGGCTTCTTGTTTGAACGTTGAGACAGCTGCCTATTACGCAAGACCTGCTTCTCTGTGAAACTGCTCCTGGAACAAATCCAACTACACATGCCTTTGGTAGGGTAGAGTGATGCAGAACATTCTGTCGTAATACGGATTGTTGAAAATCTATCTCCCTCATCAGGCCTAATTGCCCTAATGTAGTAAACCCCAGAACAGATGGCTGAAGGAGTGGGGCCGGCTGATGGAGAAGTGAGGATGGTGCCATCTAGTGGCCAAGTGACAAACTACACCCTGAGTGCATTTCATCTTACCGTCCTTAAGAAGTTAAACGAGAATACGGAAAAGATTTCCCTGTATGATTAAAATTATATTATGAATAATATCCTTAGGAAGACTAAGATATGAAGACGGCAGATGAATCACCACTTTCCTCGTTTAACTAAGAATCTTAAATTATGATCTACATAATATGAAATTCACCTGTGAAAGTAGATTTTTTTTTTGTATTTGATTCAGTTTTTATTTTATTTTATTTTCAAAATTTTATTGATAAACAGATAGCAATGAGACAGTGATCTTTTTTAATATAGTCGCCAAGCTGGCTTCCATCAGCACTAATGCCAGAACAGGTATGCCACCCTTGAAGGTCCCTTCTGCCCGTTCGAAGTCACTTCCTGTTCCGCCCTCTCCCTCCCTCCCTTCCCACTGTTTTCCTTCCCTCAACCCCGGCCCTGGGCAACCACAAGTGGGCCTTCCATCTTTATAGATTTGCCGTTCAGGCTATTTATTGTAAGTTCAGTGGAGGGGTCTGAGTTTCCCTGTGTGCAGAGAGCCGCAGCGTTTTGCTGGCTGCCGTGAACACTCGGCTAAATCTCCCTTGTGGCCAGGCCTTCCACCAGGTCCTTCCTCCCGTGGAAGGACCTTTGGGCTGGGAGGGGCCGCAACACCTGGGGTCTCCACACATCTTGTGACCAAGGAGGCAGAAGCCGGGCAGTCACTTCAGAAGAGAGCCCAGGGCACTGCAATACATGCTTAGGAGCCTTGTCACATGATTTTTATATTTGCTACAGATAAGTTGTAGGGCAAAAATAGTGTAGCAGCCTCTTTATTTTTGAATTTGTGTATTTGGTGCAAGGTCTCACTGTGCAGCTCGGACTCGTAGTGAGCCTCCAGTCTCAGCCTCCCGAGCTCTGGGATTGCAGGAGTGCGTCACCATGCCTGATTTCAGGGTGGGGCCAGCACAGCATGTGGTACAGGGATCGAACCCAAGTCCTTCTGCTTGCTAGGCAGGCGCTTAGACTGCTGAGCTATCTCCCTGGCCTGTAGCATCCTTTTGATGTGTGTGGGGGGTTATTATGAACTCGGGCCTGTGTGCCACAGAAGGAAAGACCAACTCTCCCAGTGTGAATGGCGCGCACACAGGGGTGTTCGCCGGCTGCTTTATCTCAAAGGACGCCACATGTGTAGCCACTGCTGCATCCGGTGGCTCCCACGTGCTGTGTGCAGTGGTTCCTCTTGCACGGAAGATGCTCTCGGGCCTCAGAACCGAACCAGCCCACTGACCCACTTCTCTTCTCCCCTCTTCTCTTCCTTTCGCTTGTTCCTATCCGGCTTTTGTCCTGCGGATCTCTCCTGCCCATGCAGGGGAGAACCTGGGATTCTGGGAAGCCTGTGAGGATCTGAAGTATGGAGATCAGTCCAAGGTCAAGGAGAAAGCGGAGGAGATCTACAAGTAAGGGTCAGCCGGGTGGCCGAGAGGCCCTTCCCGCGGGGGCTGCAGCCAGGGAGGGGAGGCGGCCCCTATGGCCAGCCTGGGCCTGGGCAGCAGCGGGCACTGCACTTGCCATGCGTGAATACCCCTCGCTGCTCTGGAGGGCTCGAGGGTCCCTCTGCAGGTGAGATGAACTCGGGGCTTTCTGCTCCTGTGGGAGTACGTGTAAGTCCTACAAGAGCGAGTTGTCCTGGATCACCGTGCGAGGTCCGTAAAGTCCTGCGCATGTTGGTGTGCATATGCACCCGGAAGACACAAAAATAGGCAGAGACCAGAGTGGCAGGGAGGGGAGAAGCTCTTCCGTGCACCATGTTAGGGACAAGAAGACAGGGCGGGAAAGGACAGCAGGCGCAGTGGGGGGTGCAGGCGTGCGTGGTCTCTTATTTCTCACCCAGGGCTCTCTGCTCTGTGAGTCTCCACTGCACCCAAATGACCCCAGAAGCAAGCGTTTGGTTCAGAAGGCTCAGACCTGCTGTTGATGGCTGGGGAGGAGCCCGGGAGACAGGAGGAGGCCCCTGAGATTGCTGAGAGCCACACTCCCACCAGCGCTTCCCTCGAGCCTGGCAGGTGCCCAGGCCTTGTTATGTCAGGTCCCCATGGCCCCAGGGACAAAGCCTTGGGCTTGGTGGCCTGGAAGTTCAGTTTACACTCACTGCTGCCCTGCGGATCCTGAGGCCCCAACTCTGGGGTCTGGAACCGGCCCTCACAGCCCACTTCCTGCTGAATACTCAGCCGTGGTCCCTCCAGAGTCCTCCCGCGTGGACCTGGGCTAGAGCACGCCAGTTCTTGGAGAGGCGAGGTCCACAGGACAGCAGCGGCCACTGCCTCACTTTTCGTCTTAGAGGCTCCTGTGCTCTCGCAGCTCAGCTCTGAGCTCTGCTGAGCGGGGGAGGTGATTCAGATGGGGTGGGAGGACTCTGGTCTGTGAAGCTCAGAGGACAGCCTTCCCAAGGGCACAGGCGCAGGACCGCAGTGCTCGGGACACGCAGGCCGCTCCTGTCAAACTCCTGCTGCAGGGACCCGGCTGGTTTTGGGGTCCCTCTGGCACCCTCCTCCTCAGGCTCCCACTTGGGGAGGTCTTACTTGAAATTTGAAATTTCATGCATATCTTAGGAGTGCAGGAGCCTCTCCACATAATTGTAACCTGGAGCAACGAGGAGCTACAGTATCGGCGGAGGTCCTGTGCCCACGGCCCCAGGAAGAGTCCCAGGACTTCTGGGTTATCGGTCTGGATACCCAGGGGTCATACACCTCTGCCCACGAACTCAGTGTTGAAGATGAATCAGCAAACCCAGTTAGTCAGGGCCAAGGGACCTGGCTGGTGGTGCGCCGTGCCAGCCCGGTTCCAAGCTGCTGTCTGAGTCTGGGTGGATAAACAGGCAGAAGGGTGAAGGCGGAAGTGGATTCCTCCCTGTCTTGGCTGGGAGCTACGCACAGTTTGGTCCCTCTGCAAGAGCCCAGGAATAGGGCATTCTCAGGGCTGGTGGCCATTCTCTTGCTTCTAGGAAAAGCTGCTTAGTGAGCTCTTCACCCTTTAATGTCTCCTAAAAGACAGCTCACCTCCATCCCGGGGCCCCTGTGATCTCAGTCCCTCTTTCCTACGCAGCCGGCCCTCAGTGTAAGGTCTTTTGCAAACACTTTTCATCTCCTGTCACAGACTGTTCCTGGCCCCAGGGGCAAGGCGGTGGATAAACATTGATGGCAAAACCATGGACATCACAGTGAAAGGGCTGAGGCACCCCCACCGCTACGTGCTGGACGCAGCCCAAACGCACATCTACATGCTCATGAAGAAGGTAGGTGAGCCCGTGGGGCCCATGCAGGGGGCTGAGCGCCCTCCCCGCCCCCACCACCTGGAAGGTTCCTCAGGAAAGGTCGGGTCGGGGTGACAGGTGGATACTGCTTTGCTGGTGGTGGACTGCAAACCTGGCGAGTGTTGTTCCACTTGTCACCTGGGCCAGGTCCTCCTTGGGCCGGAGCGTGACAGAAGCTGGCTGTGTCGTGGTGGCCCCTGTTCTGCAGGAGAGCTGCGGGGAGTATTACAGATGCCGGTAACGGGAGACTCAATAATAGCTGCCACTGGTTGAAGGCTGCTTAGTTGCAGTTACTGTGCAGAGCTCGGAACTTTGTCCTCGAAGGGACCAGCGAGGGTGGCTGTGATCCTCAGAGGTGGTGGGCTTCCAGCTCCTGCTCCAAGGGAGCCCAGAGACTGGGCCCTGGGCCTGTGCTGTGGCATGGTGGGGGCAGTTCTTTAAAATGTGAAGGCGGTAGGAACTGTCAGGGAATTGTCAGGAGTAAACTAAAGAGAACCCAAGAGAAAATCCATAACTTTCTTAGAAAATTAGGGTGGGAGGCTGGCACAGGGCGCCGTTGAGCTTGGCCCCAACCAGGGCCATCCCTGACCAGGCTCCCTTCAGGCACTGACTCCTCACTAGGGCAGTTCTTCCTTTTCTGGCAAAGTGTTCTGCCCACTTTGTTATGTGGGCTGAGCTAGTGGGACTGGCAAATGTTTGTGATTATCCCTTATGCTGTTTTGTTTTGAGTTGGTCTTTTATTGTGTTACAAGGAGATATATTTACTCATAAAACGGCGAATTATTTACAATTCTCAACATGTTGCATTAGCCATTTCTCACCATTTTCCCCATCAGTAGGGTTCCTCTGTATTTTCCCTACTGGTGGATGCACGGTACAGTCTCTTTAGTGACAGTCCTCCTTAATGTATTCTACAACTTTTTTTAAATGGAGTTTTAGCTGGGGTATTGCTCAGAGGCACAAGTGCCTGCATGGCAAGTCTGAGGTCCTGGGTTTGATTCCCAGTACCAAGAAAAAAAAAGTAGCTTCCATAGTCCAGTAAGAGATGCACAGAGAGGCCAACCACTGGCCCACATGGCAGAGTGACAGGTAATGGACACAAAGCGCAGTGTATGTGCTTATTGTCTTCGATGTCCCTGCACGACAGGTACTCTAGTGACGCACCTCTGGGACTCAGTCCCTCCGTTAGTCCTATTCCCAGACTCTGTCCTCGTCCTCATGGCTGTGACCACTACACTTGGTCTTTAGGGTCACCCTGCTTCACTCAGCCTTTTAGACTCTTGCCACAGTCCCTGTGTGGGTGCGGAGGGGTCTGGCCTGTCTTTGTCACAACTGGAGTTTTCAGAAGTAGCAGAAACTAGCAGCACTTGGGAAGTCAGTTTCTGGACGCCACCCAGCGTCCCAGGAAGCAGCCCACAGAGGCATAAAGGCGCGTCGTCCCTTTTGCTTGTGTTCCTCTGCTTCTGTACCCAGAACTCAAGGCAGAGGCCCCCCGCCGGTGCGATCTGGAGGGAGCACCACATCAGGTCCTTGCTCTTCTTGGGGGATGGTTCTGGGTGGGAGAGGCGATGTCCTCTGGTCTCCTGGGGGTTTCATGACCTGGCACACTGCTCCAAGGAGGACTCTGGGGAGTGGGGTGTAGTCTTGAAGCCCCGGTTGTGCCATTCTTTGGGTTCCCAGTGATGCAGGATGGGGAGGGTGTCCTGGATTGATAATAAAAGACCTCATTTCTAGAAAGTTTCCAGGTGACACTGATCATGGCCTGGGACCCACACCTGCTCCCAGAACACCTGTCGGGCAAGGGGACGAATCTGCCCTTTGCCATGCTGCCACCCACAAGGGCTGGAGAGTGACAGGCACATTTGTTCCCTCGCTTAATCCGTTTTTGTCTTGCCTTCACCAGGATTCCTACGCTCGCTATTTAAAATCCCCGATCTATAAGGAAATGCTGGCGAAAGCTATCGAACCTCAGGAAACAACCAAGAGAAGGCAAGTGTGTGTGTCTGTGATTGCTGCCGCCCGCTGTTTGCTAAGCCAGGGTCTCTTCCAGCCAAAGGGCTATGGATGATACCTGCTCGGTGACAACACTGGGGCTAGCAGGCGTTGCATAGCATCCCATCTCTTCGTAATGCCCTGAAATTACCCTAGTGAGATTTACGTCCGGTGAGTTTTGTTTCCCTCGTGCAGGTCTGAAAGAGTTCCAGTAGCCAATAATGACTCTTATCACCAAGGGGAACATCTCACTGGTTTTGTTTTTGAGTCTTCTCTGCCCCTAAATTGATGGTGGGGGTTCACTGAGCTCCATTCTCATACCTGCACTTTCCCAACCCCTCGGAGAGAATCGCAAACTGTGTTCCGGAGAGAATGCAGACTGGCAGAGGAGAGGAAGATGACATCCTGAGCGCTACTCCTCCAGGAGCCACTCGTAGAGCGCCGTCAATCGGTTCGCTCTCTCTCCTTGGTGGTACACATCCTTTCACCTTTTACAGCCCTTGGGACAATGAATGACCTAACATCGGGCAAATAGATTGAACCCTTTTTCGGGGGGAGTACAGGGCTTGAAGATTCACAAGAGCAACCAAATGACACGACTCTGGTGGAGACTTCAAAGCACCGCCAGCCGGGTGTCCTGTCCCCATGGCTAGCAAACGCCTCGCAGGCCCGTGCTGGGCTCCTTGCCAGCTCCTTCAGTCAATTCAAAAGGAGGCAGTTGGGACCAGATCCTTTTCAAAGCAGCTGAAGGAGAAAAAAAACCAAAAAACAAAAAACCAACCAACTTGTTTTCCTTCTTGAGGAGAATGGCACTGCTATGAGCTGGAGAGAAAGGAGGTCTTTGTGGGCTGTTCTAGGTTTGCTGAGTGCGGAGTTCAGGATCTCTAGGGACTTGAAAGAGTGTCCTCTAAGCCACAGGAAGGGTCTAGAAGAGCCCCAGGTGACCTGCCAGAAAGCATTGTGGGCTTAGGGGGAGGGGTCTCAGGGCTCTAACCCGGGGCTCTAACGTGGGGCTCTAACATGGAGGCTCTAGCATGGGGCTGTAACATGGGGCTCTAACACGGGACTCTAACATGGGACCCTAACATGGGGCTCTAACACGCTGCCTTTGGTGTGGGCCCTTTCAGCCCAGGTGAGTGGGAGTCACCTGTGTGTGCCTCTGTACAGCTCGGGCTTGATCTGCACCCTGGTGGGACCTGCCGGGCTGTGAGTCTGTTCCATGGCTCCCAGGTATAAGATGATGCATTAAAGCTTAATTTTCCCACAAGTTAATCCTACACTCAAAGCGTTCCTCTTGGTAGGTCCGTGAGTTACGCAGTGTCAGGCAGAGCTTTCTGGTAGGGGAGCCATCTGCCTCCCTAGGACAGATCCAAGAGTCCTAGGGGCTGTGCAGTCCAGAAATGTGGGGCAGGTCCTGAGGCTTCAGCAGGTCACTGTTGTTGAAATGCTCTGTTCCTAGGGCCATCAGTGTCCTCAAAAGCAGGTGTTTCAGCAACTCTATCTTTCCTGACTCACTTGGACACTGTCTTGGTTACTTTTCTCTCATTGCTGGGACAAAATACCTGATGCTCACAATTAAAAAAGGAAAGGTTTGTTTAGCTAACAGTGTGGAGGTTTTAGTCCACAATCGGCTGGCTCCAAGGCAGGGTGGCATGGTGCGGGGGGACCCTTCAAGGTGGCAGGAGGCAGCAAAAGCAGCAAGAGCACAAGGGGAGAAGGCAAGCCTCTTTTCCTCCCTTGGGATAGCCCTTGCCAGACCCCCATCTTCCACAAGCTTGGGAGGTTCACAAAGTGAGAGTCTGGCTTCCTGCTGAGTTAAACAGCTAAACTTCTCAGATGGACAGAATGTACCAATCGCCAACACCTGAAACTTTGTCCTGGTTCCTGAGGATGTGGCAGAGAGTTTGGTTCCAGGAGTCTTTGTTTGGCTTTGGAGGAAGGTTCTGACATCCTAAGACGCTGTGCCCGAGCAGGTCCTGGCCACCCCCCTCCCAGCCCTTTCCTCCTTCTGTGCCCAGTGGGATCTTGCTGCCTTGGACAGTCCAGACCTTTGTGTCCTTCCAGGATCAGGCTTTTGAAATAGTTTAAACTCTCCACCAGGGCTGGAACCCTTGGGCTTCCATCACCCAAGCCCTGGCTCCTTTCATGGAAATCTTTCAGGATACTAAGATGACAGACTGATTTCTAAACCCTGTAGGGGTGCGTTTGTCACCTTCATCATCTGAAGAGTGTTTTTCCTTATGCCTGACAGTCTGATGGCGGTTCGTGCTCATTCTGGTCCTGCCCTCTAAGAGAGGGGAAAAGAATGGAGGCTGGAGACGTAGGTCTGAGGGCCCTACCTGAGGTTCACGAGTGAAACGAGGTGACAAATCCAGGTGCCGGCCTTCCAGTCCAACTCCCACCAGACATGGCAGTGTCATGGGTCAATGATGCGGCTTTCTGCCAGCCACCAACCTGTGTTCCCTTGCAGCTCGAGCCTCCCGTTCATGCGACGCCACCTGCGCTCCAGCCCAAGCCCTGTCATCCTGCGGCAGCTGGAGGAGGAAGCGAAGGCCCGAGAAGCAGCCAACACCGTGGACATCACCCAGGTCATGAGCAAACTGGACCGAAGGAGCCAACTCAGAAAAGAGCTTCCTGCTAAATAGATCTGTGATTCCTAGGTGGGGTGTACACTTGGGAAAGGCAAACTGCGAAAGACCACTCAGAGTCTAGAAGATTCCATCCCCCAGTAGTGTGACAATAGGGTCAACAGATTTGTCCCAGATTCTTCTGACTTCCTTCACAGCAGACTTTCCAATACTGGGGCCACTAGAATGGTCCCTTTACTCCAAGTCACCAAGGGCCAACGCTGCTGGTAGCTGGGATATCGTGAGTCAGTTACCAAGGGCTCATCTGTCTTACATTAGGAAATTCTTGTAGTGAGAACCATAGGGAAAACAGGCTGCTTCCTAGCTCACCATTTGCTTTGGAAAATTACAGAGATGGCTTCTCCCCACCCCCACAGTATCATTCTTTCAGGAACATATGTTTAAAATAGCTTTGTGAAGCTCCGCCTCCCAATCTCTTCAACTTACACTGAGCTCTTAAAGCAGCCTGAGATCCCTCCCAGGGGCCCCTTGTGAAAGCTTTTCCCCGGACGCCCCCGCTCCATCTGCCGGGAAGGCCCTGCTTGCACCTGTTCTCCTGTGGAGCTTGTTCCTAGATGCCATTACGGGAGGGTTCTGGGCTGTCTTCTTCCTTAGCCCCGCTCCCTTGCACATACTGCATGCGTCAGGGGCTGGTAGGCATGATGCAGTCAGGCCCGAGCAGTACTCTCAACTGCACTGCTGAGGACCATGTTTTCAGCGAAAGAACATGTGCGTTTATGTCTTCATTCATGGGAAGGGCAGTGGGCTCACGCACAGGGGCTCATCTCCGTGGTCCTGCAGAGCTTGGCCGAGTTCCCTTGTAGGACTGGGCAGTCTAAAGCAGTCGATGCTAGGGCAAAAGGATTAAATTTGCATTGCTTCACCCATCTTTCAACAGCCTGGTCTAGGCACGATCTTATGATAGCAGAATCCCAGGGATGCTAGAATATAGAAGGCTTCACCGGGTATCTTTTCCCTCATTTCATTGGTCAAATCAGGTCCCTCAAACAGCCTAGACCCAAGGGCGTGGAAGTATATTCTGCTTGTTTAGTTTTTCTTTTGTAAAGGCAAACTCTCTTGGCAAGAGACACGGATACCAGTAAGCGTAAAGACTTGTGGCCATCATTATAATTAACAATACACAAATAGATGATAATAACAACATGTTGATTGTATTCTATACGAATACAGTCTATGCCTCTTTGAGGCAGTGGCAGGCAGGTGGGGCATGAAAAAGAATTGACCTAAGCAAGTGGGCTAAGCAGGCATAGGGTCCCCAGGGAGAGGCAACCCTGTGGGCACGGGCTAGAGTGTCCCCTGAATCACTGAAAACCTACCCCACATCACACAGAGGATCCTGCTGCCTATGGGAGATGTGGGCTTGTAAACCAAGCAGGCAGCCATTCTTTGTTAATCAAATGAGCAAATAGGGGTCTCAGCACTACCCCCATGAAGGGCGGTGCGCGCTTCACTCCAGGGTGGAAGATTGTGTTCCACGGGTGTACTTTAAGGGCCACTTTTGTGTGTGGATCAGTGGAGGGTGCTGTGGGAGACACAAGAATAGCCAAGCAGCCTCTGTCCTTGAGGTGCTGACAGAGGTGAATGGATGCTAATGGCTGGAGCATGAGGCAGGGTATCGAGGTGGGGGCGGACAACTACAGAGGAGCCCAGGGTTGGCGGAGAGATGTCTGGCGTGGGAGGCCCTGAGCAGCTTTGCAGAGGAGGCCTTACCTGCAGTGCAACCTGGGTGAGGTGTCAGCAGATAGCGATTAGGGAGCAGGCACTAAGGTCCTGCGAGCACAGCCCGGGCAGAGCTGTGACTCCCCCTGAAAGCACGTGGGTTAGGAAGCTGTGCTCCCTCCTGGGCACACACAGCGCAGGGAGGGATTCAGCCCCACTGGTCCCCTGCCAGCTACCCCTGAGCAGGCCATAGTTTGTCTGAGCCTTTGGTGGCCCAGGACACAAGGCCCTTGAAGCAGATCTGAAAGAGCAGGTTGAAGCTGTACCGTGAATGTTGTGAGTCAGAACACTGGTGTTTTTCTGTTGCTGGTGAGCTGTGAAGAATGTTTTAGAACATTCTAGAGTGTTCTAGAGCATTCTAGTCTAGAGACCAAAGCTGGGCTATAGGAAGTGGTTCCCTAAGCTCCATCCCACACCTCAACCTTTAGACGATGCTTCTCTGGCTCTCCTTGTAGCCTGCACCTGCCTCTGTCTGTACGAAATGCAAACCATCAATTGATGTGTGTATTTTTTTTCTACAAGGCTATGAAACATCTGAAAGAGAGAGACTTTGTTTTGTTTCTTGTGCCTTCAGGTTAATTGGTACTTCACTTGTTTGATAAGCTTCATCAGATTGGGAGGAGAGGAACTGAGGCAAGAAGACGGAGTGAGAAGTTGTGGCTCTGTTTCCATTAGAGGAAGGTCTGGGTTAGGAGTATGGTGGTGGTTGCTGAGAGAAGAGGGGACATGCTGGAGACAGAGTAGGTAGGACCCGGTCCACACCGGGTGATGTTGCAGGAGGAATTGAAGAAGGAAGACCTTGGGACTTTGATCCTCATAAGATGGGGGTGACACTAAGAAACATGTCAACTATGAAAAGAGGATTAGATTGTGTCACAGTTGTTAAGGCCACCGCAAGAAGGTTTCAAAAGTCCAGGTGAAAATGTATGCACCATTCCTGTGATAAGCATGAAATGAAGCCTTCAGTACCAGGCAGAGGGAGGCTGCAGGGCCCTTCAGGGACCTCCAAAATTGCCCATTTTCTAGGCTAAGGAGGATTTGAATGTTTTATTTCATGACCTGGTAGACATCTCAAGCAGGAATCTTGTCTCTTTTTTTGGGGGGGCGGACTGGCAGTTGTCAGACACTTACAGAAAAGGTTACCACTTACAGAAATGTCATGTTCACTTTTGATAACTTAAGGTGTGATACTTAAGGTATACTGTGTTCAGCCATACATTAAAAATTGGCTTTCTAGCCAAATTCAAAATATGCTTCTGGCAGGAAATTTCTAAACTATTTCTGTCTTCAGCATGAAGGATGCAGAACTGAACAAAACAGGTTTAATTTCACCAAGTTTACATTTCAGTGGGAAGAGTCAGATAAGATACAAGAGATAAGCACTCTGAAGGAAAAGAGAATCTTTGAGTGATTCTGTGTCATGGAGGGGGAGTGATTTTTAAGTGGACTCATTCACCTGGTAGCAACTGCTGAAGAGGTGAGAATGGGCAAGAATTTAGGGAGAGCAAGGACAGTGAAGAGAGAATCTTGCTGGAAGCCATAGTTTTAAGATATAAGAGAAGAAAGAGTTCAGGATGGAATAGGAGAGCTCTGAGGTTATGCCACAGGAGAGAGGAAGTGAGGAGAGGAGTGAGTGGTTGGTTTTGATGACACAACAGAACTGTGTGTCCACTCCCCAGCCTCCCCTGTGGTTGGGTAGGATCGCTAGACCAGGTCTGGTCAATGGGCCATGCTGAGGCATGGAGCTTGGGGCTCCATCTCTGTTGTAGGCTTTGCTGAGATGTCAAAGCTGTGTCACCTTCCACATAGCCATGAGGGGTAGGAGGCCTGGTGGCCCCCATTGGACTTATGTGAACGCAGTGTGGGTTGTAAGGTGTGACCAAAAGCTTGAGTATTGGCAGCATACCTCATCTGTCTGCACTCACCGAGGAGTGGAGTGTGTGAAAGCCTGGAGGAGGCTGCCGGAGCTTGGAACTAGGAGACCACAGGGAGCTTTCAAGGGGCGAGATCAGTGGAAGAGTAGGGCAGATGCCAGGTGTTTGGGGATAAAGAAAGATGTGCCAGAAGTAAAAAGGGAGGGCAGTGAGAAAAGATGACCATTTGAAGAAGTCTGGGATGAAGATATGGGATGTAGTGGTAACAGATAACGGGGCACCATTAGGGAGCAAGTCAAAAAAGGACAGGGTGAAATGGGTGTGTTTACCAAATGAAGGGAGATTGGAAAAAAAGAAAATGAATAATTGTCAGATGTGGTGGTGCACCTCTGTATTCCCAGCTACTCAGGAGGAGGACATGGAAAGATTTCAGGTTCAAGGAAAGCCTGGGCAGCTTAGTAAGACCTTGTCTCAAAATGAGAAGATGAAAATAAAAAGGGCTAGGGATGTAGCTCAGGGGAGCAGTTGCCCTCTATGTGTGGGGTCATGGGTTCAAATGTAAGACGATAAAGAGAAAGAGGGGAGGCATATATTGGGACACTTACAGTCAGTGGGAAAGACAGTTAAGGAAAAGGGTGACAGGCAGAATTAGAGGGCAGCCCCACAATGCTTTGCAAGGGCACAGCCAGGAGCACTGCCTGGATAGGGCTAGGGAAGACCTAGGGAGATCGGAGAGGCCCTGGGCCAGTTAGTGGTAGTGAACCTGGAGTAGGACTAAGGCCAGGTGTAGGGCATCCATGCTAGAAGGCCCTGGACAGGTCCTAGGGAGGCTTTGCTTCATACGTTTGTGTGGATTCTTTCTGTATCTCAACTCCAGAGAGCAGCCCTCTCCCCACACTGCCTCCTGCCTCCTGCCTCCACCCTGTCTGCCAGTGCCCTCACCTTCAATCCTGGAATCACCAGGAAATTCTCATGTTTTATAGGAAAGGGACCACAGGTCCCCGCCCAGTTCTGAGGTCTTGCAAGGGTTCCATGGGTCTTTCACAGCTCTAGCAGGTGGCAGTTGCTTCTGCTGACTTCATCACACAGGTCAACTCTTGCAGTAAGCCCTGGTTCCCATCTGGATCTCAAATGACTCCAAAATAATAAATGTTTGGGCAGTATTACTGAGATACTTAAATAATTACAAGTCTCTATTATGTCACATACTTAGACCCACTGTAACTCCTTATGTCATAGTTTAACCACATCTGAGGCCTCCTTATTCATAGAGCATACATGTTATACTAAAGATAAGTTATTCTTATAAGATAAGATAATGTACCAGAACTTGCTCAGTAGTAGTCC